CTGTAACTCCACGCTTGTATCGGTAATTAATTGGTTCTTGTTTTAATCAATCTTTCCATTCTGTGGTTTTGGGTCTCGAGGAAGATGAAGAATGTTTGAAAAATGGTAAAATAGGTATTTTGAAAAAAAAATGATCATCTCTTTAACATTTTTCGTCTTGGTTATTAAGGAAAGAGAAGTATTTATTAATTTTATCAAAAATAGAAGGAATGTTTTTGCTAAAATAAAACTATAGGGGATATTTTTATGATTGTCAAAAACTTCAGAAGAGGTTTTTATATTTTACCCTATATTCAAAATCATGGTTCTTGTGATTAAACGGTTCGGCCTACTCAATAACAAAGTTGCATTAGGAAAATAGGGAAATATTTGCATTCTAACCTTCATGCTTTATAATTTTACATATATCTCATTATTTTTCATTTTGCATTGATCTTTGTTGATTTTCTAGACTGATTGCATTCCTGCCCCCACAGTTAAGAGCAATCTAAAACTATGAAGGAGCAAAACTTCCCTTGTTTCACCTAAAATTTGGACAAAATTAATTCATTGTATTTTAGGCTTTTCAATTTAAAATCCAAAAATTTTATTCAGATAGGACAAAATTAAAAAGGAAATCAAAATATGAAGAGTCTTGAATAGGAGGTGTAATCAAGCAAGTCGAGTTGAGTATCTATTGGAGCTCAAGCAGTTTCGACATCAAATTCAACTCGAGTTGATACTTTCGAGCTACTAAAGTTCATTTGAGCATGGCTTGACTTGAGTCGATTATAAATAAATTGGTATTAAAAAATAATAAATAAACTAATATTATACATATTAAAATATTAAAAATAAAAATATATTATGAAAGTTGAATACTGATTTATTTATTTATATTATAGATAGGTTAATATAAAAAAACTAATATCTATTTTATTATAAATACAAATATATTAAAAAATAAGCCTAATTAGGCTTGCAAGCCACTTGAGTAGGATATTGCGAAGCTCGAATTCGGCTTGACCAACTACTTGACTTGAACTTAATTACTTTGAACTAAGTTCAACCATTTAGTGAGCCGATCTCGAGTAGCTTGTGACTAGCTCGCCTCAAACTTGATTACTTCGAGTTGAGTTCGAGCATTTAGCAAGTTGAGATTGAGTAGCTCACAAGTAAGCTTGTCTTGCTCACACCCCTAGTCTTGAATTAAATAAAAAATACAAAAATATAAAATGATTTTATTCCATTTTTAAATTTTGAGAGTCTAAGGGTAGTTTTATACTAGGAATGGCAAAGGGGTAGGGCGGGGACAGGGGGCCACTCCCCATTCCCGTCCCCAAAAAATCCCTATCCCTGTCTCCATTCCCATCCCCATTGGCGGGGACAAGGTAATCCCCATCTCCGCGGGGATCCCTACTCCCTATGATTTTTTATGATGTCAATTATTATTTTTATTTTAATTTTAGTTAAAAAATTAAAAATAAAATAGTTAAAGCTTACAATCCTATTAAAAAAGATCAAAATATATTTAAACATATTTAATCATATTTTTTAAAATATTAATATACAAAGATATATATATATATATATATATATATATATAAGCAGGGATCCCCACAGGGCAGGGATCAGGGATCCCATGGTGTGGGGAGTATTCTCCCTGTCCCTGTGGGGGGGAAATCATCCCTATCCCCACCCATTCGGGGCAAGTCTCTGTGACGATTGGAAAAATGGGAAATATTATCATCCCTATTTTCTTTAAATTGGCATCCCTAGTTTAAATTAGTAGTTTTAGGTTGCTAATTTGCCATAAAGGTTAAGGCTATAGGTGTGGCCATATATAAGGATAAGGGATGAATGTAAAGCCCAAAAAGATGGGAAAAATATGTAAGGTAAACTCTACATACACCCCAAATTTTGGAAGTCTATTAGTTAATTCCCTAATTCTTTGTGTGTGTGTTCACAGGTGTGTCAGATTCTCCCCCAAACTTTCCCCCGTTTAGTGCACAAATCATTTTGTTGGCATTCTATCAAAGAAATGGACGGAGTATTGCCCATATGCCTTGTTAGATATTTCAAAATTAAATCCTAAAATGCAAATGCTCTTTTTTCATTGTAGGTTGATTTGCGCTTTTCCATCATCATCTTTGAAGTAGGGTTCTGAACCAGTAAATTGGAACGTCATAACCAGCCAATTGATCTTGAAAATCCAAGTGATGTGCACAAGGTTTCAAGGAATCCAGGCCGTATATGGAAGATAGATAAAAGTAAATATATGATCCTAATATTTGTTAAGTAAGCTTTGTTCAGGCTCCATTTGGTTGGAGTACAAATACAAATATGTAGTGTGCAAAAATAAAAATATTTGGTTCATATGAGTGGAAAATGGTTTAAGATTTACAGACCCACTTTGCACTTAGCTCATTTGTTTTGAAAGATGCAAATAAGAATATAATTTTTGTGGATGTTTGGCATTTCCACCAATGCAAATAAAACTGTTTCTTGCTACCAAATGGTGTTCCAGCTACTCCCACCATTAAACAAATATAAAAAAAATAACAAGCTGTCCGGGCATACAACGGGCATCTTGGTAAAAAATAACAACATAAAAACAACCAGCTACTCCCACCATCAATGCAAATACAACCGTCTCTTCTACCAAGTAAACCAGTTTCTCTCTCTTCTTCACGCCAACGACACTATTCTTTTTGAATAGGAACTATAGAGCTTCCAAAAGGCATAGAAATAGCTGCCCGGGCATCCTGCCACATAAAGGAACAAAAAAAAGTAGTGACATAAACCCTCTAATAAATAGGCCTAACAAGCTCCAACATTGAATTCAGACCCGCATACATCTGAAGCACCTATTCGACTTAACATCTTATTACTTCAGTTCAAACCTCCTGAACCATTTGACTCGGACGGTTGAATCGTTAACTAGAAATTGGTGATAAAAGTGGTTCTGAGTTAGTTTTTAAAATCTTGTTTCAAGGTGGTCTCTTGAAATTTGAAAGTAATGAATTAATCATGATCCAAGTATATACAGCCAACAATTCAACCGGATTTAACCATTAAATCATGTTTTTCAAAACCAGACCGAACTGGACAGTCGAACTTAAAACTGAGGACTCCGTTTTACCCCAGAACCATGGTTTTTGAAACCGGCTCGGCGACTGAACCGGTCAGGAGTCTGGTTACCGGGTCAAATGGTCAGCCCATTTTGGCAAAAATAAAAAATTTAAAAAAATTGAAAAACGGTCAAAACCGTTCAAATGGTTAGCTGGCCGGTTCAGCGGCTTGCTGACGAAAATCAATGGTTTTGGGGGAAAATGGAACCGGTCAGGTGACCGGTTCCCGGGTTTTCTGGTCCGGTCTAGTTTTGAAAACCATGCCCAAAACCATTATTTTGCCAAAAGCCGTTGATTTGATCAGCAAACCGCTGACTCGAATGGTCAAACCATTTTATTTTTTTGTCAGAATGAGCCATCAATTCGGTTTGAACGATCAGACCTTTCGACTAAGAAACCAGACCCCTGACCAGTTCGTTGTCTGCTTCGATTTTAAAAAGCTTGCATTCAATCAATGCATGGAATTCTCTAGAAAAAGGTCGCATAAATGGCGTATAAAGGAAACATAAAATCTATCTGATAAAACTATCAACTTAATTTTGGAATATGTTAGATTAAGGAAAAAAGTTGGTACATCAATTTGATGACCTGGATTTTTGGATGTTTCGGTACATTATTTGGATGTCTTTGATTTTTTTGAAATATTGGTAGATTTTTTGAATGGTTGAGATTGATCCATTGATATTATATTAAGAAATCACTTTGATTGCGTAGACCTTTGCATTGATTTGGTACATCATTTGGATAGGCGATTAGATGATGTCTTGATACATAATTTATAAGGGTTATGATTAGATGAAATTTTAATATACCATTTGAATTGTTGAGATTTATTAAATGATTCCAGGAGGCATTTTTGATGATCTAGCTAGGTCTCAGGTTTCACTAGACATGTTACCTTACGGTGGCTAGATTTAATAAGGATTATCATGCTTTACTTGTATGCATATGGTACATCATTCAGATACTCTAGAATAGACGAAATTTTGATGCGCTATTTTGATGGATGAGATTCGTTAACTGATTTTAAGAGGCCTTCAAATTTTTGAAGGGCTAGATTACTTGACATGTTACTTTGCATGGCCCAGACTTTCTTAGAGATTTTAATGCATGCATTAATTACTTGAATGCCTTGAGATTAATCCAAACCATATTTTATATTATTTGAATTGTTGTAATTAATTCATCAATCTTAGGAAAGCATTTCTACGATCTGGACAAATGGGATGATATTGGATGAACCATTCGGATGGGCCAGATTGGATGAAACCTTGGTAAATATTTGGATAGTTGAAATTAATTGACTGATCTTAGGGTTCTATTGTGAAGGCAGCACAGATTTTAGATATGATTTGGTACTTCATTTTATTTGACTGTATTTTATAAGGTTCTTAAAAGAGATAAATGTATGACTTAGGATTGGTGAAAATCATATGGTGATTTACACTAAGGTTCAAAATAACAATACGCTTGATACGCCGGTAGGGGCGTATTGAGTGATATAATAGTGTTTTTTTTTTCAAAATCAGTTGAGGGGAACCGTTTAAGGCTCCTGCACCCCTTGAACTAGTCAAAACCCTGATACACTCCCTGTAGGGGTGCATCGTGAAGCCATCGGCACGAGATGTATCGGTCAATACAGACTGATACGTATCCATACTTTGAACCTTGATTCACACATATAGATAATGAATGGATAATTTTGTAATTTCCTACCTAGCTATTATTAAAAATTGGTATGTATAAAGTCTTTTGTTTTTGTATTGATTACTTGCCTTTGATATAGCATATTACAGTATTTTTTTCAGCAACATTAACTTGAGAGGGCATCAAATATACACACACACAAAAAAAAAAAAAACAGTATAAAGAGCTATGGGAGAGAGGTGATATATATATACAAACTTTTTCTTTGTATATTATCTTAATATTCATCTTAATTAGAAATCAGTCACTAGATCCCAAAGCCATGTAACTATAAAACAAACGAGGACAAGAAGGCAGCCACCAACATTGTTAGCATAGGATAGCTACTTTTGTCAGTTCCGGCATTGCCATTGGAGTTACGGTGGTGGTTGGCTGCGGTGCTACCAGCTATCACAATTAACGGAAATTTTGATCTCTCATCATTCAGATTACCACCACCACGACCACTACCACCACTATTGCCGCCTTCAACGGCGCCATGATAATCATGCGCACCATGACCACCACCACCACGCCTGCTGACCAATGTATAGCATGCGGGTTCTGCTCTTTTTGACATTGTCTCGTTTATCCCCTTATCTCCTGCAAAGTATTCCTGCACACAAGCTGAAGAAATAACATGGGTGTGAATATGTGATTATTGATTAATGCAAGGCTTGTTTGAAGTCCAAATCCAAATGTAACGAGATGAGGGCATGGCACCAAGGAAGATATTCAAAACTCAAGGGACATCCATTAGCTGGTACCAATAGTGTCTTCATCACTGTTTTCAAAACAGGACCGGACTGGAAAAATCAGACGGTTTCGTTTTCTTCCAAAATCGCTTTTTCCCCCAAAATTATTGATTTTGGTCAGTAAACCGTTGAACCGACTGGTTAACCGTTCAAACTGTTCGAGCGGTTTTGACCGTTTTCCAATTTTTTAATTTTTTTAAAATTTTTATTAGAACGGGCTGACTGTTTAGGTTCGAACTGGTAACCGGACCCCTGACCAGTTCGGTCACCGGTTCGTTTTTAAAAATCATGATCTTCATTGTTGATTAATTAGTGATTATACAAAGAGCATTCTAACATTAGCTTCCCCAACCACTTAAAACTCAATTTCTACGGATATGATAAAATCCAGATGATGAAATATTAACATCAACTAGAAATATCTATATATATATATGTATAGCTGAAAATAAATAATTTTATGGAAGAATTTTGACCCATCAACCTCCACCGATGTGAATTTGATAAAAAATCATCTGATTAGTTATCAATTTTATGAAATGGGTTAATTGATGATTACAAGTTTTTCCAATATCCTATAATCAAACCGGCTCATGTATTTCTGGCGTTTAATAAAAGAAGAAAAGTAAGATAAAAGCAAAGTTAATATAATAATCGGCTCAACGCCTTCTTCTCTCTTCCTTCGTTATATAATCATACACCCAAGGAATAATTGAAGAGTTTCAGCCTTGAGGTCATGGATAATTTATTAATAAATTAGGCTATGCTTGGATAAATTTCTGCTTTTGAACTGCTTTGGGCTGTAAAAATTAACGAAGTGTTATAATTAAGTGTATTGTATGTATTTCTTTTAAAAACATAATCTAAAGGCAAAACAATTTTAAGCCCAAAAACATAATCTAAAGATAAAAACATCAAATCGAAATATTGAATTCAATATTGTACAGAGTTTCAAACTAAATGAAATGAAGGATAAAAGGGGAGAAGGGTGAATACCTATATCACGTAAAGAAGAAGATGATGATAGACAAAGAAGGTAGAATAAGAGCAACGCTAACCATCCAATTTCTTTCATTCCCATTCCTTCCTTGTTCCTCTAACAGCTTTATCTCACAAAAACAGTTCTTTCTCTCTGATATGTTTCAAACTTGAAGTGGAGTTTCAGATATATGCTTTGCGTTTGAACGTAATGTTATAACATCCCATATTCCCATATGAAGCTTCCTTTCATATGCAATAAAGTGGATGACTGACGACTCAAGTTTCCTTGGAATCAAAATTCTATGAATTGTATGCCACACTGACGAGCTCATTTCCTGACTAAATACTGGTGCCATCTGACTCAATAAGATCATCTCACCCCATTAGATGGAGATGGGATCAACTGAATTTGATAAAGTACTGTTATTTGGCTATGGGAGTAATCATTTTGCTCCACACCTGCCATCCGGATTAGCTGCACTTAAGGGATGTATTAGTGGCTGTACGTTTAACCAATAATAACACCCCACGAGTCTTTGAGATGGAGCAGTTGTGGATATATATACGCTGCCTTTCTCAAATCCCAACATAAATTCCACAACAAAACAGTATTATATATGCCACAGTTTTTCAGTGCATTCTCACGACAAGTTCATATGAGTTGCACTGCATTCTATAGGTTTCTCATCGCAAGCCCCAACGACATTGCGATATAATTCTCATCAACACTTGGATGTTTTTAGGGGAATGCATGCCTTTGGCGTTGTGTAGGGTTGTTAGGTTTCTAGAAGGAGAGGCATATCCATATGGACACATGGTGAAATCCTAATTTACTTACTAGTTCTGCGTATGATATACTTGGGATTTCCTTTCGAAAAGGAGAAAAGCTTCATTCCCCGGAGAAAACTCTATAAATAAGGGAATCCCGAAGAACCTAACAAGGATTCATTACAAACACCCTTTGTAAGTTCTACCCTTTTGCAATTTGGGGTGTCAATGGCATTCGAAAAATCCAATTTTGAATTCAAGATTCAACATAATCTAATTGAATTTGCATAATACCTTATTCAATTTGATAAACATCTGAATTCGACTAATTATTTAATTCTTGTATATAATAAATAAAATATTTAAATATTGTATATACTTTATATATATATATACTATTTAAATTATATAAATTATATATTTATATACTTTATATAAATAAAAGATTGATTAATTGCCTAAAATGATTAATTGGTCAATTTGAATCAAATCAAATATATAATTGAATTTGAATTTGCACATTGATTTTCAATATATGTTGGATATCAAATTTTATAATTGGATTTGACTTTGGATATTACTTGATTTGATTCAAACTCAATCTGTTTACACTAAAGACAATACCATTGTCGTCTACCATCCGTTAGGTGGACAACCTAATGCCATACGTCACTACCTACATTAAGAATCTCCAGTTGATTCCTTGATCATAAAGATGGCAGCAAGAAGGACAAACTTGTCACCTATTCCTGAAGACTTGATGGATGGTAACCAATGACTAGCTATCGAAGAACAGTGGGAGTTTGAGGATGGCAATGAACTGGAAATTTTGGTCGAGAAAGCATATGACCTTGCTGACCATATCGTGATTGTAGAGAGCCGTTTGGACATCATCACAACTAGACTCTAAAATGAAATCAGAGAGGTACTTGCACAATTGATTCAATGCCCCTAGATTCAGCCTCAAGAGTCCCAATCTCAATAGTTGCAAGGGATAAATAGACTGTACTCCCCCTCAGAAATATGAAATTACAGCCACCTCCTAGTCTACTAGTAGCCCCCCTATAAACAACATCCTGCCCATGGATTTGGCATCAATTCACAGTTAGGATTCATTCCACCCCTAGGGAGGAGCTACGATTTCTAAGGGTGGACTGAACAGTTAAAACCCCTAGTTGCAATCCCCGCCTGCAACCCAACCACCATTCCTAACCCAACCATCAATAGATGTTTACCAACAGATGTAGCCATGATATCAGAATCAAACCCCAAGCCCCTTTATCAAAGATATCCAACCTGGTGTTCTAAATACCAAAACCTATAAATTAGCGTACTTCACCAGTGGGACCATCCCTATTGCAGTTTCAGCACCGCTGTTGTTAGTTGTAATGACTGAGAAGGCTGGAGGATCTTTGGAGGCGCATGTCAACCAGGTACACAAGTATGTGTAGTATCTGATTGAGACTAGTTATTAGAAGGCCAAGACTTCTTCCATCCTTCAAAAACCTCAATCTTATCAAATCCTACACAAGGCCTACCTAGTGGCTACCATCCACTTCAGCAATGGTCCCTATACGATGGCATGCCAACCTCGTGCTTGGTAACATTGAGACCTGGAAGTATGCTTAATGTGCAGTTGTGACTACTGAAAGGTTGCAGTTGTGACATAATCAATCACCAGAATTGCAGCAACAACAGTTATTCTAATTGTTAGCACCCAATTTTTGCTTGGTCTCTTCACCTTTTAGACTTCAAAACTTGAAAACAAAATAAAACCAACTTGAGACTTGTCAAAACCTAAAAGTTTCCCTTTTAAGTGAAACCCCACAATTATACCCACCTTTCTAATAGTCCTGGTCTACACGATGTTCAAACCTTGACTCTACAAAATCAAATACAACACATTCATTATAAACCTAAGAAATGCCAAGATTCCATTTCGATAACCCTGAATGAATAGAGTGAGATAACTAAGACCAACCAATCCCTTCCTAGACCAAAACCATCTACTTGTTCCTCTTCTTAATCCATGTCCACACTGATTGGTAAAGATTCCAATTTGACGTTTATGGTTAAACCACGCAAAAGTCGTATCTCAAGTCCAAAATCCTAAAATATACCACTCATTGGATTTAGCCTTAAATTCCTTCATTTCCTCCCAAAACAAGCAAGATTTAGCTTTAGGCTTTCTCAATAGTTGATAAGCCTTAATTTGAATCAAATCCTTTAATTCATACCTTTAATAAAAGATCCATTGCTTCCATCAGATTCAAGACACCCAAAAGTGCTTATCCACCAAGTTTTACCCCAAGATTCCCTTAGTTGACCCTCTATTGAGCCAAGATTCTATTTCAACAAATCTCGTTAAATTGAAATATACTAGCCATAGATCTCCTTCTTCCTAGCCTTATTTGGCCAATCAAACCTCACTATTGTGTTTAGAGACCCAAAAAACCCCAACATGTCCACTTTTACAATTTAATTCACTTGTTTGACTATTAAATTAGAAATATTCCATTTTAATGCACCAGATTAAATCACCCCTTTAATTGTCCCAATCTAAGACCCCCAAAAGGGTGGAGGGATTATGTGAGCCCCTTGCTTGAATTGTCTAAACACCTGAACCAATAAAATTAGGCCTAATAGACTTAAAAAGTCCGACAACCCAAAGATACCCCACTTAGAGTTAAGAAAAGGCAAAGTAACATTTATGGGTAAGTCAAATTTACATTTTATGCCACTAACAACCCCCCAATTGTGAGACTACAATGAGAAATACACCCCAAGCTCTCATTGGATGCACAAAACCTATAAAAATCAACCCTAAATTGAAGATAATCTTTTCACGAACAAGAAAAGGTTAATTGACTACCTTTTTCTTTGAAAAATCTTTACATTTTCCTTGAAAAATCTCCCTTGAAGCCTAAGCTCTATGGTTGGGTGAATTTCATACCTAATCCCCTCCTTTTCAATATAAATAGAGGCCTAGTTTAGGCTCTAAGGTGGATCCTTAGATGGGAGAAACATAAGAGAGGGCCAAGAAGCATTTCTAACCCTACAGGTGCCCATTCATGAAAAAACTCCAAGCCTTTGAACCTGAAACTCCTAAATCTGCCACTCTGTTCTCAGATTGAAGATTTGCAACCAGAAGTACTCAACTCAGTAGGCCATTCAAGCTTCATTGTATTTAGATTTGATTTTTTTTTGTAGTTTAGTTTTGGGTTGTTTAAAGTTCTGAGACCTTGGAGAACTTGCATTCTTCGCTTCTTCTAAACTAAGAAAAAGAGATAGAAATGTGAAGGTCTTAGGGAAGTTATTACCTAAGGCCCCTAATAATATCACCTCAAAATCAGTCTTAGGAGAAGTTGGGAGCATTTTTCTTTAGATTTCAACAATTATAGAAATCTTTTTACTGCTTTTTGAGCCTAAACCACTCCCGTACTAGGATGCTACAACAACTTAAAGAGAGTGGTATTTAACACATTCCCTCTCCTAATCATTGGAATCCAAAATCTCTCGATTAAGTGCTCTTCTCGTGGAGAAATGGAATCACTATCAAATAAATAAAGTTGAGTTTTCAAAACTAAAGTGAGGGTCCATTTCCTTTAAAAAATGGGTGACAACTCCTTTTGCTTGAGCCAATCTTGAGCCAAGAGAACAGATTATTTGACACATATTACAGGTCATCATACAAGTGCACATAACCAACAGTACGTTCACAACACAATTTAAACTATTAACATTCTCAAATTTAGAAGTTGAAAATTTACCTTCTTAGCATAAGGGCACGATGCCATTTTCTTTCCCTTGGGCATGACAATCGCAATAACTCAATACTCATTCGACCTTGTTGCATTGCATTGGGTGAAACACTAGCAGTAGCCTCTTGATTTGCAACTTTTTCTCTAACCACAACCCTAGAGACAAGCTCGATGCTACTACCTCCAACACTGTCGAATTCTTCATTACTAGAGGAGACTATCACCTCCTCCCTACTATCTCTAGGAATGACTGCTAGACTCTCTTCATTAGAACTGACCATAGCAAGAACACCCTCTTCCCTCATCCTTTAGTCGCTAGCATCCATTGCAATAGAATCCCTAAGTCCTCTTCATTACTAGAAGAAGAGAAAAAAATAGGCTATTAAAAAGAGTGAAGTTCCTTAGCCCCAAAGCTAGTTTTAAAAAGCATTGGCACAAGCATGAGGTGCCATGTTTCATCCATGGATAAACAATGCACCTTCGTTATTGCACATAAGGGTTACCAGTTTTGCTTATTTACAACCCATGCCCCCGGTTTAAATAAGAAAAATCTATGATGCGGGAAAGATATGGTATGGAAAAAGTTTTGACCAATCAAATCTCACCCATGAATTTTGATAAATTACACCTTATTCGCTATTACTTTTAAGATTCTAGTTTATTGATCAATTATTTTTCAGATATCATAACTTTTCCATATCATAGTTGAACCCATTAACTAAACATCAAATATCAACTATAAAATAACATCGTTTTAAAGCTAGATTGGGACCCACATATTTTATGTCTATAAATAATATTTTAAACAAAAATTTATCTATTAATTAGTTTTTCTCATAACTTGCACCACAAGGAATAACTTTTCATCTTTATGGAATAAAAATGGAGAATGCTATACCAATGAATGCTATTCTTTCTACAAGAAAGGAGCTCATAAGCCTAGGTGATATTGCTTCTTTGTCTTTATTTTGATTCATAAAAGCCAAACAGAGGAATAAGTACAAATATTTTTGTAAATGGGTGGGCAAGTCAGCTATTATATTTGATTGAGTGTATAATTATATATGCTTTGCTGCTTGGGAATTGGGATTGAAGAGTAGAACATTGGGCTGGTGCTAGGCCTAATGTATGTATAGTTTTATAAAGAACGGGTTATAATGGCAGTTCTTGTCTATTTGATATGTATCACTTTTAATTGTGACATGTGTCCTCTCTCTCTCTCTCTCTCCTCCTTTAAGACTGTTTTCAAAACTGCCACTATAAATGGCGACAATACATACCTTCTCAGTAATAAGACAAGTATAGAGGAAGATGTTGGTGCAGAACTAGTCTTCTCCCTTTTTGGGAGCCAACAAACTCCTACAAACAACAAGGGCCTCACCCTAAAAATCACCATCCATAAATTCAGTGTACTCATCCTTATCAAACTGTGAATCATATTTTTGGGGATTTGTTTCATTGAACATCTCACACTTGAACTTATAGTTGTTGGCAATGTTCCCTACCTCATGTCACCTAAAGAAATGGATGTTCCTTGGGGTGTTTGATCACACTAATGGTCGGGATGAAGATGATGCATTGGGAAATGATGGGTTTATCGTGGGTTTGGGGTTTTACGATGCGGGCATTGTGTTAAGGATGACAAAGGGCTTGATGGTGCGTTACAACTAGGGTTGCAACCACAAATTATTGGCTATCCACACAACTTGTTGAGTGTCAGAGATGAAGTAGAGGTATGATGCAACCAAAAGTTGTTGTCATAGGGCTAATTTGAGTGCTTGGATGTACTTAGTGGAGGTAATATCCTTTGGTTCCTGGATACTCATTCGTACCAACAATGGATGAAACTTGAAGGTGTACTCATCTACGGTTCTACTCTTTTGGTGCAAGGACTGCAATTGGATGAAGAGGCTTTGTTGGTAGTTAAGTGAGAGGAACTCTCTTTCATCTTGGCCTTCATGACCTCCCACATTTTGATTTTGTGTTTGCCTTTATGGCGGCAGGTTTGGTAGAGGCTGTCCCACCAAGCCAACGTGTGGCCTTGTAACTTGAGGGCGACAATAAGGGGAATCTTCTTCTATTCTGGAACCATCTTGTATTCAAAAGACTTCTCTACACTGCTCATCAAATCCATAAAATATTTTTGGTGAACAGTTCTTGCAAACTCAACTATCTTACACTTATTACCACACTCCCAGTGTTGAGGGCAGCGTTGAGGAGAATCTTCTTATCCTCTGGAACTAGCATGTAGTCAAAAGGCTTTTCTATAATGCTCATCCAATCCATAAAATATTTTGGGTGAATAGTTTTGCAAAATCAACTATCTTACACTTAGTACCGCCATCCCAATGTTGAGGGCAGTGGGGAGGGGAATCTTCTTCTCCTTAGGAACTAGCTTATAGTTAAAAGACTACTCTACACTACTTATTCAACCCATAAAATCTTCTGGGTGAACAGTTCCTACAAACTCAACTATCTCACACTTAGTACCACCATCCTAGTGCCGAGGGTAGTGATGAGGGGAATCTTCTTCTCCTCATGAACCAACTTGTGGTCGAAAGACTTCTCACACTTAGGGGGAGTTCTTTTTTCGGATTTTGAGAGGGGGAAAGTTGGTCAATGGGATTTTGGTTCCCATTGACCAAGAATCTCATATTCTTTTTTTAGATTAATGTGGGGATCAGGGAAAGTTTATTTTCCTGGGTTCACTTACCGGGGTAAGTGATGCTCATCTCCTAGGTGGATAAATAACTTTCCCACTTGGGGAGAAAGTTTCCAACACTTGAATGGAACAAAAATGTCCCTTTTAATAATGAATTTTTATGGTTAAAATGGTCATTTCCTTTTTTACTTGGGAAATAAAAGAACATGGGTAGATATGTCTTTCCCAAGAAAAACTTACCCAGGTAATTGCATTTACCCGGATAAGTAACTTACCAAAAAGCGAACAGGGCCGTAGTATCACCATCCGATGGCCAATGGAGGCATTGGCCATGTTCAGGTGACTCTCCTAAAAAAGATACTAAATTAACTTTGAGTTCTTTTAACTCTATCCGACAAGGAGATCTAGGAATAGATGTAGGGGATTAGAGGCTACTCTTGGAAGCTCTCCTATCTCAGATCTCAAGGGCTAGATTAGAAGTTGTTGGACTTGAGCCGAGGTGTGGTCAAGTCGCTGATTGGTGTTGGTTATTCTGTTTTTAAGGTTCTGCAGTGATGGGGGAATTCTTTTGCATATCTTGAATATAGCTTTCTTCGATGAAGTGTTCTCTATGACCAGAAGCCATGAAATCTCTATTACCAGATGGTGCAACCTACACTCTCTAAACTTGGAGAAACTCATAGAGATGGCCAGCAACAACAACACTGGACCTCCAATTTTGCAAACCATCAAAGTTCAACAGCTTCGACCTCTGCCGAAGTAGATGGTCGAAGGTTTTATCTCAATAGCTCTGAAACTAGTCCAACTAGAGCAAAGGAAGAAGAACTAACTTTGGAACCAAAGGAAAACACAAAACTCTATTTCAAATTGATCAAGAGAACTATCTAATACAAAGCCCGATTAAACTTATAGAATGTTGAGAGAGAAGGAAAACAATACAATTTTGGTGCCCAACTAGTATCCCAAAATATCTAAGCAAAAGAGGTGGTTGGCACAAAGAGACAATCAAATTTGCTCAAATTGCGTTTATTGCCAGTCTTTCTTTTATTGTAGCTTCTATCGTGTGCTGGGATTTCCTTGTATATATGTGTTACCATTCTTCTGCATTGCAACTCTAAGTAACTTGGCACTGCCATCCTGGGCTGCAGCAGTCCAGGTCTTAGGTCTTATTTGACACATTATCTTACATTGCCTATATTTTAGAGACTTTCACAGTTTACTTGTGTGCCCTTGGCAGTACACCATTTAGATAGGTTATATTAGATAAAATTGTGATGCATCATTTTTTAACAGTAGAGATTCATTAAGGCTATGTTTGGTTTGAAGGAAAAGGTAGGGAAAGGAAGGGAAATGTAGGTAAACCTATACAAAATTTGTAAAGATTTCCTTTCATTTCCTTTCCTTTTTCTACTTTTTCCTTCAAACCAAACATAACCTAATTGATTTTAAGAGGCCTTTCCTACATTTCTATGGTCTAGATATATACGATGATTGACTGCATCATTTCGATATGCTGGATGGGATAAAATCTTAGTAAACATTTGGGTAGTTGAAATTAATTGAGTTAATTGGTTGCTTTTCTGAAGGAGGCCCAGAAATTTATTGATTGATCTATTGAAACTATATTTTATAGGATAGATTAAAAAAAGAAAAGTTACATGAATGACTTGCATTGGTGAAAATATCGGTCACGTATAGACAATGAATAGGCAATTTTGTAATTTCCCATTGATTATTAACAGTTGACATTTAACACCAAAAAATATAGCATAGGGAGCCAAGTGATAGACCCCCTCCAAATGATGGGAGAAGGATATTGGAGTCTAATTAAAATCAAGGATCAAAATTTCGTTATATATCGGCTTGTATTGGTTAATACGTATCACTTTGAGACTTAATATGTCCTTATATTGGGTCTGACCATGGTTCAAAGGGTAATTGGAATTTAAACCGACTCTCTTGAATCGACTTAAAAAAAAAATAAAACATAAAAAACATCGATACGATAACCATATGAAGAGTCATATGCTTGATTCCCTATTATGGGAATGTTAATCCCGGTTTAGTTGTAGATTTTTTGTTTTTTCACTGATTATCGATCTGAAAACAGTTTCGCTTCTTTTAATTTGTGCAATCTCTTAATGCTAATGTTCATCTAAGAAATCAGTCATTACATCCCGTAGCCATTTAACTGTAAAACAAGTGAGGACAATAAGGCGGCCACCCATATTGTTAGCCCAGAGTAGTAGCTGCTTTTGCTAGTTCCGGCGTTATAATTGGAATTACGGTGGTTGTTGGCTGTGGTCGCGCCAGCTATCACAAATATCGGAAATTTTGATCTCTCATCATTCAAATTACCACCATCACCACTATTGCCCCTTAAATGGGGCCGTGACTCCTTTCACCACCTTGTCCACTGTGACCACCACGCCGGCTGACCGATGTATAGCAAGCTGGTTCTTTCTTTGTTGACATTGTCTCATTTTTCCCTACAAAATGTTGCTGCACACAAGCTAAAAAATAACATGAGTGTGATTATATAATGCAAGACTTGTTTGGTACCACTGCAAGTTCTAATCCAAATGTAACAAGATGTATTTAAACATGGCCATATTCTTTGTGACGTTTAAAAAAAAAAAGAAAAACAAAGTTAATACAATAATTGGTCGATTCTTCTTTTCTCTCCCTCTCTATATAATCAATCATACACCAAGGAATAGTTGAAGATCTAGTTTCTGCGTTGAGGTCATGGATGATTTATTAATAAATTAGGTTATGTTTGGATAACTTTCTGTTTTTGAGCTTTGGGCTGTAATATAAATAAAATTTGACAAAAAGTGTGTTCTAAGTGTAGACACACATATAAAGAGAAATCAATTTTAAATCCAAAAACACAAAGCCTAAAATTGGGATTTTGGGCTTTGGGCTTTAAAGACACAAAATTTGAAACTTATCCAAAAGCAACCTTAATTAACTGTCTTTTAACTCTCCTACAGTGAAAATTGTAATGATTTGCTTGTCTATGACTAAATAAAAACATCGAAATGAAATCAATATATCGTGTAGAGTTTCAAACTAAAAGAAGGATATATATATATATATATATATAAAAGGGGAAAGGGTGAATACATACCTGAAACTGAGGTATCGCTTAAAGAAGAAGATGATGGTAGACAAAGAAGGTAGAAGAAGAAGAGCAACGCTAACCATCCCATTTCTTTCTTTCACATTCCTGGTTCAGTAGTGAGTTGTTGTTCCTCTTGCAGCTTTTATCTCTCTCTTGATCTCATCCCTTTGAGTGTTGGAGTGGGGTCTTTCAAACTTGAAATGGGGTTAAGATATATGCTTTGCGTTTGCGAAGTTTCCTCTCATCTCCAATAAAATGGGTGTTCACATCTGACCCCACAGCACATCCTCACTTTGTATTGGGAATATTAGCGGTGACGTCACATCATCTCCCGTATTTCCAAAGGTGGAGATGTGCTGTGAGGCATTGTGGGGCCCCAGATGTGAACTCATAAAATGGAGGACTGACAATTCAATTTAAGTTTCTTAGGAAAATAAAAAATTCTGTGAATTTTCTAATATTTTGATTCAATAAGATTTTCTCACATCAAATTGTCCGAATTTGATAGTTGCTTTAATGGCTGTGGACCAATAATTTTATGGGAGAATGGCGGTTCACCCTAGTGTTAGAATTTTAAGGCCTGGTGCCAGCTCGAAATTGATAGGTAGTGTATGGAGTGAGGGGTTTTTGATATTTTGAATGTTTATAGATCTGCATTGGATTCAGAAATTTGTATTGGATATGTCCGTATTTTTTTGTAATTTTATTCCACACTCGTCATTAGTGGTTGTGCACCTAAAGCTCAGTGTTCGGGTCATGGCTGAGCTGGTTCTGCGAGGCATGTGGCAGCCCAACTATCGCCCCACCACATTATCCTAGCTCGGCCGAACTATACTATTATTGTGGCCCCTCGTCCTATCCTTCCAACCATACCAACTACACATCATGCGAATGAGCACAACTACAGATAAGGAGGAGTAAGGAAAGACAACTCTGTTGGGGAATGGAACTCTATCCCGAGTACCTCGGCAGCTAACCTCATCTCGACAACCCTAGAAGCCCAATCCGACCAGGACACAGATCTTCGGCTATAAAAAGGCACTCCATGCTCGAGGTAAGGGATCCAACTTTTGAGACCAGTACTACTACTTATATCGGACTAGCATCCTCATAGCTCGGCCCGACCACCCACCACCTCTTACTGACTTGAGCGCCGGATTACTTACCTGGGGATAACTCCAAGGGCCTCTGACTTCTTTCTTGATCACAGGTCTTGAAGTGCGGCCTCATCCTCGCCCTGTTAGCAAGGACTATCTGGTTGCTCTCCTCAGTTTGTGCACCACCTCGGATTGAGCAACATCAGATTGGCGCCGTCTGTGGGAATGCGCAAAAAGCCACCCCGAAGATCTTTCCTTATTGCGCAATCAAGAAAGCGACCAAGATGCCCAAGAACCAGTCCGAGCGTTCAACAGGCCGATCCCCGTCTCGGGAGTCTCACCACCGCAGTTCTCCGCATCAAGAAATTCCATTGCCCCCAACTGCGGTTGATCCTGAGCAATTCTGAGCAATGCAAGAAAAAGTCGACAAGATCTTCGAAATGATGCAGAACTTAGGACCCGTAGCACCGCCTAGCAAGATCGTCCCCCCTTACGCATCGACGCGCACGAAGGATGATCCTCGTCTCAAGGACCCCAAAGCGTGTCGAGCAGACAAGGGCATAGCGCGGTCCAACCAAGAAAAGCAGGATACAACAAGAAGGTCAGCCCCCTCTGTCCGCTCTCGTAGGAGGACACACTAAACCACGTGGATCCAAGCCAAAGAGAGGCTTGGCAGACGGATGCCACCTCACGTGGTCTCCGTCGCCGAGTCTAGCTTCGTGAAGGACTGCGCAGTGCGCCCCAAGAAGGAAACGGCGATGCACACTACAGCTTTGGACCAAAGGGATGTCGAGATTCAAGAACTCCGCCAACACTTAAAAGAGTTAAAGCACAGCTAGAGAAGCACGACGCCACCTGAAGATCGACTCGGGCCCATGGCCAAGGAGCCACCCTTCACCCAGGAAATTGTGGACGAGGTACCTCCCACAAGATGGCGGGCACCCCAGCTTGACAAGTACGGTGGAAACACTGATCCCGTTGACTATATCGAAGCATTAAAGTCTCAGTTAATGTTGCACGGATCCTCTGAGGGCTTGATGTGCAAAACCTTAGTGGCCACTCTCGCAGGTCCAGCCCTAACCTGGTAATCCTCTCTGCCTCCACACTCAATAGCGTCGTGGGAGCAGCTGGAGACCCAGTTCCACGCTCAGTTCACAGTGAGTCAAAAGCATTGGTGGCCAGCCTCATGCAGATGCAACAGAGGAAAAACGAGTCCCTCAGGGACTACCTGGCCAAATTCAACAAGGAAACACTACTGGTCAGAAACCTGAACCAGTCTGTGGCTGTCACCGCTATCCAGCATGGCCTCCGCCCATCCCCATTCAACTTTTCCATCTCCGAAAACCCTCCGCAAACCCTAGCTGCGCTGATGAGCCATGCGTAGAAGTATACCAATGCAGAAGAAGCGCAGACACAACTACGGGTTGAGGAAGAGAGGCCTGACAAGAGGAGGAGAGATATTGAGGAGCGAAAGTCAGAAAGATCAGATCGGGACCATAAGAGGCAAGACCGCCGACCCGACCATAGACCACAGACACCCCCGCTGACCTATCGGAACTTCACGCCGCTCAATATGCCGCGATCTGAAGTCCTGATGCAAATCCATGACCGAGAAGATGAAAACGCAAAGCAACAAGAGAAATCACGACAAATATTGCGAGTTCCATAGAGATCATGGCCACGACATGGAGAACTGCTTCGACCTGCGCAACCACATTGAAGACCTAATCAGGCATGGATACCTCGGCGGATTCATCAAGAGCGAGAAGCCGGCACAGGAAGAACAACACACGGAGGATGCTCGACCGCCGCCCCCGGCTCCTCCTGCTGCTGTGATCCATGTCATATCAGGTGGAATCGCCGCAAGAGGGGAGAGTAGCTTGGGGCGTAAGAAGTATGCGCGACTGTGCGAGATCGACAACTGGGGGCACAAGAGGAAGCGCGACCAGACCATCACATTCACCGACGATGACCTCCGGGGGGTTCAAATCCCGCATGACGATGCCTTGGTCATCACGGCCAAGGTGGTCAACCTCGAGATAAGATAGATCCTAGTTGACACGGGTAGCTCCGCCAATGTACTCTTCGAGGACGCGTTTGAAAAGCTCGGCATCGACAAAGAGCGCCTCACCCTTTTCAACACTCCCCTAATGGGCTTCTTTGTGGAGTCCCTCCTGCCCACTGGGAGAATAACTCTTCCCCTACTGATTGGAGACAGTGACGTTACTGCGACGACCATGGTGGACTTCATTGTGGTTCGTTGCTCCTCTTCGTACAACGCCATCTTTGGTAGGCTAGCCCTTAATGCTCTGCAAGCTGCAGTCTCCACATTCCATCTTGCTATGAAGTTCCCCACCGAATATGGTATAGGGGTTGCACGTGGAGATCAAAGAACTGCACGACAGTGCTACCTACTCTCCTGCCAATGACCACAGTTGGCCGTAGAAGCACTAATGACAGAAGCTTATGACTTCCGAGATGAGGTGAGGACACAGCGCAACCAACCTATCGAAGACCTCATCTAGGTACCGCTTAACGAAGGAGACCCCGAGAGGATAGTCCAGGTCAGCTCTCTTAAATCACCACCTTTGGGAAGAGCTTGTACAACTATTGAGAGACCACGCTGATGTATTTGCCTGGTTAGCAGCAGATATTCCGGGGATCAACCCCGAAGTCATCACACACCATTTGAACACCGACCCCCGCTACTGACCTGTCAAGCAGAGGAAGAGGAGTTTCGCAATAGAACGATGGCAGGTGATTGCAGACGAAGTACAAAAGCTACTCGACGCCGAGTTCATTCGGGAGGTCAAATATCCCGACTGGATGACCAATGTAGTAATGGTGAAAAAAGTCAACAGGAAGTGGGAATATGCGTCGACTTCACCGACCTAAACAAGGCCTGCCCCAAAGACAGCTTTCCTCTACCAAGGATCGACCAACTTGTCGATGCAATGGCGGGCCATGAACTCCTGAGATTTATGGATGCCTTCTCAGGGTACAATGAGATATGAATGCATCCCGATGACTAGGAGAAAATAGCCTTTATCACCGACCGCAGCTTGTACTACTACAAGGTCATGCCCTTTGGCCTCAAGAATGCTGACGGCACTTACTAATGACTGGTGAATGAGGTGTTCAAAGATCAGCTCAGTCGAAACGTAGAGACATACGTCGATGACATGCTAGTGAAGAGAAAGAAGGCCGAACAACACCTTGACGACCTAAAGGAAGTCTTGAATACCCTCAGGAATTATAAGATGAAGCTGAACCTGACCAAATGTGCTTTCAGGGTCGGCTCGGGTAAATTCATGGGGTTCATGGTGACGCAAAGGGGGATTGAGGCAAACCCAGAGAAAATACAGGCCATCCTCGACATGCAATCCCCCCGAACCCACAAAGATGTACAACGGCTCACCGGTAGAATAGCTGCCCAAAGAAGGTTCATGTCCAAATTTGTGGACCGGTGTCTGCCCTTCTTCAAAGCCCTCAAATGACCGAAGGACTTCCAATGGTCCGAGGAATGTGAACGGTCTTTTCAATAACTAAAGCGGTACCTAAGTTCGCCGCCTCTCCTCACCAAGTCGAGCCCAGGGGATGAGCTATTGCTTTACCTCTCAACCAGGGATGAGATCGTCAACTTAGTACTAGTCAAGGAGGAAGACCGGGTTCAGAGGCCGATTTACTATACCAGTAAAGTCCTTGGCAGCGCAGAAACCCGGTACTCCAACTTGGAGAAAATGGCTCTGGCTTTGGTCACCTCGGCCAAAAAGCTTAGACCGCACTTTCAGACCCACACTATTCGAGTGCTCACCGACCAGTCGCTTAGGCAAGTCCTCCAAAGGCCGGAAGCATCTGGCCGCTTGATCAAATGGAGCATGGAGTTAAGTGAGTTCGACATCGAGTATGCACCCCGGCCTACGATCAAAGCTCAGCCCCTAGCCGACTTCATTGTCGAATGCACGTTCACCACCGAGGATCCTGCCCCGCCGCCACAAATTTGAACCCTACATGTAAATGGCTCATCCAATCAGCAAGGCAACGGAGCGGATCATATTCTCCTCGGCTTGGATGACACGGTGTTAGAGCATGCCCTCAAGTCCAAGTTTAAAGCGTCCAATAATGAGGTTGGGTATGAGGCTTTGATTGCCAGGCTACGCCTCGCCCTAGACCTGAGAGCTCGGAGAATAGAAGCCTTCAGTGTCTCTTAGCTGGTAGTCAACCAGATCCACGGACAATTTGAGACAAGAACGCCCACAATGGCAAGTTACATACAGAAGGTGTAGGAGCTCATCCATTGACTTGAGCGCTTCAACATCCAGCAAATTCCTTGAGCCGAGAACGTAAGAGCCAACACACTATCCATGTTAGCCAGCTCCCCGAGAACCGACCTCGGCAATACAACATGGTTGGACACTGTAGCCCAGCCGAGCATCACACAAACAACTCTCCTCGTCCTCCTGGTACAACATGACCCCTCCTGGATGGACCCTAAAACACAGTACCTCCGCGAAGGCACACTTCCAGAAGATCGGACGGAAGCAAAGAAGCTCCAGCACAGATCAGCCTGATATTGCCTTATCCATGGTCAACTCTACTGCCGCTCACATACTCTTCCCTACTTGAAATGTCTCTCCCCATCCAAGGCAGACTACGTCCTTAGGGAGATTCACGAAGGCATTTGCGGAGACCATCCTAGCGCACGCACGCTGGCACAGAAGGCACTTCGGCAAGGTTATTTCTGGCTGACGATGAAACAGGACGCAGCCCTGTTGGTTTGAAGATGCGACAGTTGCCAGTGACACTCCAATCTCCACCACCAGCCTATAGTCCCCTTGAAGCCAATCACCAGCCCATGGCAGTTCGCACAATGGGGACAGACATCCTTAGCCCCTTTCCCACTACGGTTGCTCAGAAGAAGTTCCTCCTAGTGGCGGTGGATTCACCAAATGGGTAGAAGCCGAACCTTAGCACGCTGAGGCTATGGTTCCTGTAGAGATTGGCTCCCCAACCCTCCGGATCGATCTCTTCGATGACGACTAGAACGACGAGGACCTCCGTGCAGAGTTAGACTTGATTGAGGAAGCCTGGGACCGAGCATATGTAAGGATGGTAGCACAACATCAGAGGATGGCGATGTACTACGAAACTAAAGTCAGAAGACACGAATTCAAGACTGGCGACCTCGTCCTCCACAAAGTCATAGTACCCGCACTTGGAGAAGGAAAGCTCGGACCGAATTAGGAAGGACTGTATAAAGTCACCAAGGTCCTTGGCTCAGGCACCTACAGGCTCGAAGACCTAGATGGCCGACTAATATTGAGGAGTTGGAACTCGGGAAATCTCAGGATGTACTACCCTTAGACTTGCAAGCATTAAAAGTTTCCTTTCTTTTAAGCTATATCTCTGACCCCAAGGTGTGCATACGCCCATCGCACACACCGCACATACACATGCTGAGCCGCACCGCCAACCGAGTTGACTCCACCGATCCCTGAACGGCTGAGCCCATTACACCCAGCTCGGCAACGTATCGCCGACTAAGCTACCTGGCTCAGTTGACAATGGTTGAGCCTAAACGTTGAGGAAAAACGCCCCTGCCCACCAAGGCCCGAGGGCGGTCGAGGAACTTCGCACAACCGCCGGCTTAACGGTTGAGCTAGCTGGGAAACGGCTAGCCCTACAAGGGCCCCAAAAGCTCCCGAGATCGGAAACTGAGCGTCCCATGGCTGAGAACTCGGGAATCAAAAGATCTCAGGCGACTACACCTCGGTCGGCACAAGACCGGGGATGCCGTGGCATAACCCGGCCGGCCACACCCCCGCCAATAGAAAATGGTACAATAAGGCTAACAAAAATTGTACAATAAGATAACGTGGCATAGCCCAGCTTGACACACACAATAGCCCGACCAGACATGCCTTAGCTGGGAAAAGAAAAAGGCACTAGGATAGCAATATATTGGCAGACAAAAGAAACACTAAATATTCAACTCAAAATCGTTCATTACATCGCTTAAGGCTCGACATACCGAGCCCAAGAGAAAAAAAATAGAAAAAAAGAGAGAGAAGGCTGCCGTTCAATCCTCGGCAGTAGAGTCAACAGCACCATCAACGGCTTCGACCTCAACATCAGCTCCCTCGGCGGATCCTTGCAGATAATCCGGATCGAAAGCACCCCAGCACTGCGATTCATCGGCCAACTCCAGATGGCGGCAAAGGATCCTTCGACGAAAGAGGTTGAACCCAGCCGTAAAGGAAGCTTCGACGTATTCGTCCATTTGCAGTTGCATCTCCTCCGATGCCTTGTACTAGTTGACTGCCTCCTCGGCAGCCTCTTGCCTCAACCTGTCTCGCTCTGCCTTAAGCTTGGTGATCTCTCGTTTCAGCTCCCGGACAAGGCTGGCCTGCTCGACCAGCTATACCTTTAGCTCAGCTACCTCCCTCTCAAGAGCGGCCGATCTCTCCCCAGCAGCCTGCAGCTCGGCCAACGCGACCACCGCACAAGCATTCTGCAACCAAAGCAAGGTGACTTAAAATCATCAACAGAAGTGGATAAGTACATGTCCAAACCACCATAACTGGCGAGCAAAACGGACAAGGGAGGTTTCCAAAGCCAAAAAATTTATCTGTAACTTCCACCCACTTCGAACCAATCCGCAAAAGATGCAAGATCTGCAACTGCCATCCAGCACACCGGATAACTGTCCACTGTGATGCCGGAGAACTGAAACGTCCATCTACAACACGGGAAAATTGTAACTGCCATCCAAATTTCCGGAGAACTGTAACTGCTGTCCCGAACGCCGGATAACTGTAACTGTCTTCCAAAAACGCTGGAGACGGCAAATGCAAGTGGCAACTTCCATCGGTGGTTAACGCAGAAAGATTTCTAGAGAAGAAACTCCCAATCAAAATGCCCGCAGATATATCGGACAGAAAAAAAAAAAAAAACAGGTGAGAAGAAACTAACAAATGGGAAACATGGGAGAACAAAAGGGAACAGGGGAGAACAAAATGGAGAACAGATGAACAGAGAACAGAGTGAA